GTAATCTCTCTTCAAGATTCAAACCAGGGTCCCTTTGATTGTTGAGCTAACACTCTAACCAACTTGCAACAAAAGCTAGTATATTAATATAATTAAATCAAAAAGAAAAAATTTAATTGCAATCATAGTAAAATAAAAGGCAGAAACTATAAAGGTCCAAACTCACTTTTTCTGCACCTTTGATCAGAAAGTACCCTCCGTGGTCAAAATCACAATCACGTTTATCAGCATCCTTCATCCAGCAGAGGTCAGACTTCACCATCACCGGAATCCTCCCAATCACAATATCCTTATTATCCTCCCTTAAAACTTCCTTTTGAATATATTGTTCTTTTCCAGTTTTAAATTTGTCACTTCTGACGTTTTTCTGAGTATAAACCTGATCAATTACAAAGAAGCAACACAATACAAGTTATCAAAAAACTCAAAGACAAGGGCAGAAATTTCCAGAAAAACATGACACTTTCAGGTTTTTCTTTTCATACGAAAAAAATAACAGTTTCGGCCACTGTACACTCTCTCTGATCCCCATTTCTCGAATCCCCCCTGCTCCAAGATTCAACATATGATTCAGTAAATGACCATCTATTTAAAAACAAAGCACATACTTGAATGGGAAACAATTCCTGAGCCATAAATAGGGATTGTGAACACAACACACAAATGATGGGCCAGCAATTAAATCGAGTTCGAAGCACAAAATATAAAACAACCAAAATCCTGTCACGGGTAGAGCTTGGTTGCTGAGTTTCATGATGCATGCATACTCAACCCCCTAAACTGAAAAGTACCTTGACATATCTTATTTCTGAAGACCACATGAGATAGGAATCCGAAGAAAGACATGCATAGTTCAGTAGAAGTGTTAACAATAATACTCAGACACACATAGTAACCTGTGAGCTGCTCCGTGATGGCTTCAACAGATGGAGTGGAGAAAGGGGTGGCATATCTCAACAAACCACCACAGGCAATCCCCTTCCCTAAAGCAGCCTCCAAGAGTTGACCAGGAGTTTGCCGTGAAGGGCATGTGGGTTTATAACAATATCTGGGACAATTCCTTGTATTGTGAAAGGGAAATTTTCTTGGGATTCCAGAACCTAAACACCCTTTTGCCCATGCATGCTCGAGAACTTGTCTCCAAGACGTGGAGATCGACCTGCATTACAAGTCAACAATACTAATTTATATAAAAGACCATAACTCTCTAAGAGAATTCATAAACTACAGACCATCCCAATAGTTAATCCTATAACCATTATACCCACATTTAAGAAAAGACAGCAGCGCATCTAAATGCTATCTTGCATTCTAATGATTTTTAGTTGCCATCATACACTATGTTATCTTCTATATGGACAAATTATAAACAGAACATAGTTACACACTCATATTCAAAGGTCCAGTAAAATGTGCATTCACATTCATGTCTGTGTAAATAGTGATACGTGAAATACCATGGCCAACTTACCTGTCTCAAAGATACCACAGCAAAGTTCTTCCCATCATCGTTAGAAGAAAGAACAACTTCTGTACCATGCCTCTTTCTGTGTGCTTTAGTTTTATGCTGTGATCCCCAGAATCGGCATACCTCCCTATAACAATGTCACCACTCTGGAGGTTCCCCCAATGAAAGGAAAACCATCATCATCAAGGCAATCAACACGTCCTCTGTGCTTTGCATCTTTCCAAAATTCATATATTATCAGACATCCTTTTCTTTCCCATTGTTTCTTTGTTATCAACCTCAGCCTTGTAACTTCTGTGTGCTCAGATCGAAACATACCACGTTCCATAGATGCTTGGTTCATCACCAAAGAATCCTCTGGGTTGTATCCCAGATGAATATTGACAGCTACGATGGCATTCTGTCCATTGTAAGCTCTGGTCTTGGCAGTATTCCATTATGCCCATAACCATTTTACCAAGACAATCAGAAGTCATTGTCCGAAATAGAGGCCTTTGTGGATAATACAGCTGATGGGACGTTCCACTCGTTGTTTGGATTTGTTGTGGGAAAACCAATAGCCTGTGAAGAATGTTCTGTGCTTGATATAAAACCCTTCTTGCATGGTCATGGTTGGCAAATGGGATAATTCCACAACTCAAACCTAAAGAATGACATATCAAGTTCACAGTGAGTGAACTTCACAGGTTTCTTTTCTTTCACATCCTTCGAATGTATTTAATACCCCATGCAGTGAAACAATCCTCTTCTTCTTCAGTTCCAACAAGCTCGATAATACCCATGTCTAGAAGAATTGGAAGTTGTAATTCTTCCCTTAATTGAGTTATTCTGCCCAATTCTCCACAACCAAAAGAGGGCGCAATATCCTCCCAGCATCAGAAATATTCTTACTTCACCTAGCTGTTCATCTCTTTTATTTCAATCTACAAGAGAAAATTGATACTATATAGGTCAAGAAGTAACAAAATTAACCCAGATAACAAAAGGAACATACACCACATCACAACAATCCTCTGTTAAGAGAGACAAAGATGAGCAAATAATGAAAATTCAAAGCTTCAGGCTTAAGAATATTATGAATAGATAGAAAAGATAAATATTCCATGTTCATTCCAATATGATTCTTAAAAGTACCCAGCATCAATAAGAATCAACATTTACAAAAACTAGAGTCCTTGTCTAAATTAAACATTGACAACTGACATATAATTTCGAGGAATCTAGTACTGTTAAATAGACAACAGTTAAAAGCTCAATTTCACTTCTTCTGCAATTTAAGTATTAGTTCATATAATATAGGGTTTGTTATTATAAGGAACATATAAGACCATTAAGTGAGAGTATCTTCATCCAAAAATCCTCGTCCAATGAACTTACATTATTAAACAAGCAACAATATCTCCTAGTACAGAAAAAAATCCTGCAAAATTGTAAGCAAGTACGACTACACTGAACCAAAATTCATTCATTACCAGTTTATCAAAAGAAGGTCCACATTAGACTTAAGATCTTTGATGATGTCACCCAAAATTTTGAACATAATAGCAATTATTCTTGGTGAAAGAAGAATGAGTTCTAGGTGAACATTATGAATATAGCTAGTAACACTTCATGTAAATCAATTTTTTCCCATCATGGTTCAGTCTATTGCCACACAAGACAGCACAGAAAGACATGGGTAACATCATTAATAAATATATTTACAATTTAAAAGCCTTTTGAGATGAAATTGAGAGAACCTGATTTGGAAACTCTCTCTTTCGTCGCTTACTTCTTAGCTCAGCAACAAACGAAAGGGAATCCTTACAAACTCCAACCCAGTCCCCATAACAAAGATTTTATCCATTCCTTCCAGTGAAGTAGTAGTATCATCTACCAGTTCCTCCATTCCACAATCAAACAATTGATCAACTATTGTTCCCTATGTCTGTACTTACAAGTCCGGTAACAGCCAAATTTTTGACAAGCCCACATTTTCACCATCTGGCGTAGAAGAAAGCAAACCTTACCCCAATGAGAAGGATGCTGCATCAAGAAATTATATTACAGAGTTAGTAGCTTCCCCACACACATCTCAACACTAATAACGGTCAAAATGATTAGCAACCAGGACCAAATAAGGAAATAAAACAGCATGTATGCTTTTTCTTGCCATCCTTCAGGTCCAAATTATATATTTTTAATCAAAATGAAAGGACTACGAACAATAAAAGTCAAGAAACTGCTGATTGCAATTTTAAATCGCTTTATAGGTCATGTCCGGAGACCTGACACTATCACATTAACTTTTTAGAAAGCCATCCATCTTTCCAAAATAACATAGGTGAATTAAAGAGCAATACAAGCAATAACAAAATTTTACACAAATACTATAAATGCTTCATACACAAATGTATACCACCATGATGCTGACATAAATTGAAGGTAGCCTTCCATACAGATCCATGTAAACAAGGGGCAGTTAAAATCATTTCAGCCTATTACAGCTAACAGCATCTCCAGTTCAATGGTCAAGGCACACAAGAATACCATGCAAGCTTCAGCATATATCACAAATGAAAACTATGTCTAGAGTTAATGCATGTGTGTGTATTTGGTTCTTCGTGTTTATACCTATTAAGATAATTATCAAGGAAAACAACATACAATATGCAACTATAATTCAAATAACTTACGGGTATCTGGCATCTCCAACCTTCCCAGTGTACTGAACTTGCTGTCTTGTTCTCCTCAAATCACCCATAGTCTGCAAGGCATTTGTACGGCCAAGTGTTGCCACAACACCAGAGATCCTTTCCATTCGCTTAAAGGGATGTGACCATGCTCCAGTGGAGAACGCTCTGGAAAGACCATTGGTAACTATGGACGCATCAAGATAGTAATCAATTGGATGCACTGTACGATCTGGATAAAATCTCTCTGCAAACCTTGATCATGCGCCTACGAGCATGTAAACTGATTTATGGATCTGAAATAATATTTGAAAACTAGTAATGTCTTCACCTAGTAGAGTTTGTCAGATTAATAGGTTGAATCTGACATTTCACCATTGAACATTTGTAATTTCCTTGTTCTAGCAATCTGATGAAGTTGCTAGTGAAAGAGAGGTTAAATCGGACTTTTTTTTTTTTTTTTTTTTGGTCTGGTGGAATCCAAATAGTCACATGCTGTATTCTGTGTCTGGCCAAAATAACTAGAAGTTTTGTCCTCTTAGTTGGAGCTGGGATAATTTTGTCATTATGATAAAACCAACAGAAGCCCTTTCATAATGGTGCAGGGAACGTTCTATATTGAACGCTTAAAGCATATGCATGTCTTACTTTCCCTCATTTCTGACCCCAAAAATTGCTAAGTTTTTTTTCTTTTTCGGGTATCGATGTACTTATGCAATTAGTTGAAAAACGGCAGTCTCTTTTAATGTCTAAGGGCTATCGTCGTTTGTTTCACAACAATAATAATCTCTATTGAGAAATTTATATCTGATCCATTGAGATTGAGAATTTTTTTTGCTCATTTCTTATCTCTGATGTGCTCAGGAAAATGAGGCAGCCTCCTCGTATGACGAATGGTGTACTAAAACCCTCAAAAAAATGAAAGAAGCGTCCCCATTGAGCTTGAAAGTTACTTTACAATCTGTAAGGCTACTTCCTTACATCCTTGGTTTCAGTTTGGAATACTACCAGCTTGGCTAAGTTTCTTTTGCTTGCCTTTAGATACGAGAAGGTAGATTCCAATCTCTTGATCAGTGTCTGGCACGTGAATATCGGATTACTGTCAATAGCATCTCCAAAAAGATCTCTAATGACTTCTGTGAGGTATAGACATTTTAATAATTCAGCATAGCGAACATTCTTTTAAATCTATGCTGATGTTATCACTATCATTCATTTGTTGATAGGGTGTTCGAGCACGATTAGTGGATAGAGATTTTGCTCCAAAGGTACAATCTGTTGCCTAAAACTCTTATGTTAACTTTATTTTTATTTTAATTAAAAGGTGCTTAAAGAGATTATGTATTGGTTTGGAATTGTAAATATGCAGTGGGATCCTCCAAGTTTAGGAGATGTAAGTAAAGATATGGTTGACTGCCATTTCTCCCCTTTTAATGAATTGGAGCCAGAACTGGAGCTTCCAACAGCAACGCGAGAACCTTATTTCTGAGATAGATTACACAAGGATTGATCAGTTCTTCCATTTTACAATTTATGATCTTCCATATTTGATTTTTGAATATAAATCTGTTGTAAGTGCCTAGTACCTAAATGTGTTTAGAAAGTAGGCTCCTTGTGATGCTGAAGAAGATTAGCACTTAGATAATTTATATCGCAACTTTAACCAACCCTTTTCAAATTTTTGTTCATGGATTTTGGAGTCCAAACACTTGCTTCTCCGTTTATATTCTTAATACAGACCATAAGGCCTGAGTGAAACAGAAACTGTCAAGTTTGCAAGAACTTATTTCAGTCACCACAGATAATAAACAGAAATAATGCCTAAATTTTATGTTCTAATTTTCAAATCTCAATTTAAACATGCATCTTCAGTAGTATGACGGGAAGTTGAGATTTTTAAGGAGAATAAAATGAACGTTACCTCAAATTCCTAGAATTAAAGCTTACGAAAACAGAAGGCAACTTAGGCAAGTTAATAGAGGATTCATGAACCTAACGACTCTATCCTCAGCCATTTTGGTCAAAGAATCATGTGATGTGACATCCTAGAAACAAATTCAAATCTAACATAGAGGCAGAAAAACCCCTACGAAATAGAGGGGTTTCAAACCTTTTTAAATTCATGGTGAAGTCAGATAACCAATGGTCTTGACACATCAAACTTGGCCTCATAAGAGTCATTAACCCAACTGTTGTCTTTTAAAGATTCACAAAATGTTTTTATTTACACCAAAAATATACAAAGACCTAAAGTTGAATGAAATGAGTTCCAAAAGAACATTTAAGACAGCCAACTGGGTATCTCCTTAAAAGCTCTTAACAGTATTCTGTTTCAAACTTCAAATTGATACCCATGCTAAAAAGCTCCTGGCGCAATAACTTGGCGCCATAAGGCACATTTGCCTTGATGATGTCATCGACAGATTCACATAATCGGCAGTATGGCCCCCTGATCTTGCGTCCACCACTCACTGTCCGTTGGATCACGTTTGCCACATTCTTGCATTTACGGCAAATGTGCACCTCAGAGCAATCACTCAGTGTAAAAAGCCGTTCATGCAAGTTGGCTGATGCTCCATGAGCTATAAGGCAGTCACGTTCCATCTCACCGAACTTGATCCCACCATACCGTTTCCTGTCTGCAACTGGCTGTCGAGTGAGCGGGTGGACTGGTCCAATGTTCCGGAATTTCACTTTGTCTTCTGCCATGTGAATCAGTCTCTGGTAGAACGTAGGGCCCATAAATATAAGTGAATTAAACATTGCACCAGTTCGGCCACTGTACACTCTCTCTGATCCCCATTTCTCGAATCCAACCCTGCTCCAAAGATTCAACAATTATGATTCAGTAAATGACCATTCCATATTAAAAAACAGAAGCACATACTTGAATGGGAAACAATTCCTGAGCCATAAATACGGGATTGGTGAACACAAACACACAAATGATGGGCCAGCAATTAAATCGAGTTCGAAGCACAAAATATAAAAACAACCAAAATCCTGTCACGGGTAGAGCTTGGTTGCCGAGTTTCATGATGCATGCATACTCAACCCCCTAAACTTGAAAAGTACCTTGACAATATCTTATTTCTGAAGTGACCACATGAGATAGGAATCCGAAGAAAAGACATGCATAGTTCAGTAGAAGTGTAACAATAAATACTCAGACACAACATAGTAACCTGTGGAGCTGCTCCGTGATGGCTTCAACAGATGGAGTGGAGAAAGGTGTGGCATATCTCAACAAACCACCACAGGCAATCCCCTTCCCTAAAGCAGCCTCCAAGAGTTGACCAGGAGTTTGCCGTGAAGGAAACGCATGTGGGTTTATAACAATATCTGGGACAATTCCTTGTATTGTGAAAGGGAAATTTTCTTGGGATTCCAGAAAACCTAAAACACCTTTTTGCCCATGCATGCTCGAGAACTTGTCTCCAAGACGTGGAGATCGAACCTGCATTACAAAGTCAACAAATACTAATATTATAATAAAGACCATAACTCTCTAAAGAGAATTCATAAACTACAAGACCATCCCAATAGTGTAATCCTATAACCATTATACCCACATTTAAGAAAAGACAGCAGCGCATCTAAATGCTATCTTGCATTCTACATGATTTTTAGCTTGCCATCATACACTGAATGTTATCTTCTATATGGACAAATTATAAACAGAACATAGTTACACACTCATATTCAAAGGTCCAGTAAAATGTGCATTCACATTCATGTCCGTGTAAATAGTGATACAGTTGAAATACCATGGCCAACTTACCTGTCTCAAAGATACCACAGCAAAGTTCTTCCCATCATCGTTAGAAGAAAGAACAACTTTCTGTACCATGCCTCTTTCTGTGTGCTTTAGTTTTATGCTGTGATCCCCAGAATCGGCATACCTCCCTATAACAATGTCACCACTCTGGAGGTTAGCCCCAATGAAAGGAAAACCATCATCATCAAGGCAATCAACACGTCCTCTTGTACTTTGCATCTTTCCAAAATTCATAATATTATCAGAGATCCTTTTCTTTCCCATTGTTTCTTTGTTATCAACCTCAGCCTTGTAACTTCTGATGTGCTCAGATCGAAACATACCACGTTCCATAGATGCTTGGTTCATCACCAAAGAATCCTCTTGGTTGTATCCCAGATGAATATTGACAGCTACGATGGCATTCTGTCCATTGTAGAGCTCTGGTCTTGGCAGTATTCCATTATGCCCATAACCAGGTTTACCAAGACAATCAGAAGTCATTGTCCGAAATAGAGGCCTTTGTGGATAATACAGCTGATGGGACAGCGTATCCACTCGTATGTTTGGATTTGTTGTGGGAAAACCAATAGCCTGTGAAGAATGTTTCTGTGCTTGATATAAAACCCTTCTTGCATGGTCATGGTTGGCAAATGGGATAATTCCACAACTCAAACCTAACAAGAATGACATATCAAGTTCACAGTGAGTGAACTTCACAGGTTTCTTTTCTTTCACATCCTTCAGAATGTATTTAATACCCCATGCAGTGAAACAATCCTCTTCTTCTTCAGTTCCAACAAGCTCGATAATACCCATGTCTAGAAGAGATTGGAAGTTGTAATTCTTTCCTTTAATTGAGTTAATTCTGCCCAAATTCTCCACAACCAAAAGAGGGCGCAATATCCTCCCAGCATCAGAAAATATTCTTACTTCACCTAGCTGTTCATCTCTTTTTATTTCAATCTACAAGAGAAAATTGATACTATATAGGTCAAGAAAGTAACAAAATTAACCCAGATAAACAAAAGGAACATACACTGCACATCACAACAATCCCTCTGTTAAGAGAGACAAAGATGAGCAAATAATGAAAATTCAAAGCTTCAGGCCTTAAAGAATATTATGAATAGATAGAAAAGATAAATATTCCATGTTCATTCCAATATGATTCTTAAAAGTAAACCAGCATCAATAGAGAGAATCAACATTTACACAAAACTAGAGTCCTTGTCTAAAATTAAACAATTAGACAACTGACATATACATTTCGAGGAATCTAGTACTGTTAAATAGACAAAAGTTAAAAGCTCAATTTCAACTTCTTCTGCTATTTAAGTATTAGTTCATATAATATAGGGTTTGTTATTAATACAGGAACATATAAGACCATTAAGTGAGAGTTATCTTCATCCAAAAATCCTCGTACAATGAACTTACATTATTAAACAAGCAACAATATCTCCTAGTACAGAAAAAAATTCCTGCAAAATTGTAAGCAAGTACTGACTACACTGAACCAAAATTCATTCATTAACAGTTTATCAAAAGAAGGTCCACATTAGAGCTTAAGATCTTTAGATGCTGTCACCCAAAATTTTGAACAATAATAGCAAATTATTCTTGGTTGAAAGAAGAATGAGTTCTAGGTGAACATTATGAATATAGCATAGTAACACTTCATGTAAATCAATTTTTCCCATCATGGTTCAGTCTATTGACCACAACGACAGCACAGAAAGACATGGGTAACATCATTAATAAATATATTTTACAATTTAAAAGCCTTTTGAGATGAAATTGAGAGAACCTGATTTGGTAACTCTCTCTGTCGTCGCTTACTTCTTAGCTCAGCAACAAACGAAAGGGAATCCTTACAAACTCCAACCCAGTCCCCATTAACAAAGATTTTATCCATTCCTTCCAGTGAAGTAGTAGTATCATCTACCAGTTCCTCCATTCCACAATCAAACAATTGATCAACTATTGGTTCCCGTATGTCTGTACTTACAAGTCCGGTAACAGCCAAATTTTTGACAAGCCCACAATTTTCACCATCTGGCGTAGACAGAAAGCAAACCTTACCCCAATGAGAAGGATGCCTGCATCAAGAAAATTATATTACAGAGTTAGTAGCTTCCCCACACACATCTCAACCACTAATAACAGTCAAAATGATTCAGTAATCCAAGGACCAAATAAGGAAATAAAACAGCATGTATGCTTTTTCTTGCCATCCTTCAGGTCCAAATGTATATATTTTTTAAATCAATAATGAAAGGACTACGAACAATAAAAGTCAAGAAACTGCTGATTGCAATTTTAAATCGCTTTATAGGTCATGTCCGGAGACCTGACACTATCACATTAACTTTTTAGAAGAGCCATCCATCTTTCCAAAAATAACATAGGTGAATTAAAGAGCAAATAACAAGCAATAACAAAATTTTACACAAATATCTATAAATGGCTTCATACACAAATGTATACCACCATGATGCTGACATAAAATTGAAGGTAGCCTTCCATACCAGATCCATGTAGAAGCAAGGGGCAGTTAAAATCATTTCAGCCTATTACAGCTAACAGCATCTCCAGTTCAATAGTCAAGGCACACAAGAATAACCATGCAAGCTTCAGCATATATCACAAATGACAACTATGTCTAGAGTTAATGCATGTGTGTGTATTTGGTTCTTCGTGTTTATACCTATTGAAGAATATTATCAAGGAAAACAAGACATAACAATATGCAACTATAAATTCAAAATAACTTACGGGTATCTGGCATCTCCAACCTTCCCAGTGTACTGAACTTGCTGTCTTGTTCTCCTCAAATCAACCATAGTCTGCAAGGCATTTGTACGGCCAAGTGTTGCCACAACACCAGAGATCCTTTCCATTCGCTTAAAGGGATGTGACCATGCTCCAGTGGAGAACGCTCTGGAAAGACCATTGGTAACTATGGACGCATCAAGATAGTAATCAATTGGATGCACTGTACGATCTGGATAAAGATCTCTCTGCAAAACCTTGATCATGCGCCTACGAGCATGTGCAATATGCACTTTCAACTCTCGTTCAAGCAACTGACCTGCCAACTCCAACCTCTTGTTTCTAAAATTGTCCCGATTATCACACTTTCTACGACCTGTATAAGCCTGTAAAAGGCACTTCACCATATAGCCTAGAAACCGAGCCTTTTGCTTTGAGCCAGGGAGACTGGGAAACATATACATGTTCAGGCACTCTTCAACACTTTCCCCAGGTGGAAATGTGGTACTTTTAATCAGTTTATTTACGTGACTGAGAGCATTACTGCGTATTCGGAAGTCGTCAAATCTATTATCAGCATCATGGATTGAGGCAAAGAATATATTCGAAATGTTTGCTTCTTCAGCTCCGTAATCTATAAGCTCTCTGATTTCGTTGTCTGATGAGACACCAAGGGCAAAAAATAACACCCATATGGGTATCTCCGTCGACAGGAAATAGACAGTGAGGACTTTCTCACCTCCTCCAATACCTTCAATTTTAGACTGCTCTACCAGTCTCACAATTAATCTGTTTCTTTTTGTTTCAGATTTGTATGCAATAGTCCAACCTTGATTATTTGATATCAAAATTCTTCTCATACAAATGTGCTCTTGAGCAATAAAAATCTGCAGATAAAAGATTTCATTATATGTTTTAAGTAACATAGAACATCATTCAAAACACCAAATAACGAAGAACAAGTAGACAAAACAGATATGACATAGACTGACATAACAAGCCCAAAATTCAACAACACGGATTATTGAACTAACACAGCAATCCAAAGAATGAAATCCAAAGATGATTATTGGAAATAACAAATACCAATAACAAGAACACTGAGATATATAGATGGGTATTAAATCAGGATGCAGGAAAAAGCCTCTAGATCAAAGTGCTCAATAAATCATATAATTTTCCACCCTTGCATTTTGCTAAATATGTCATTCTGCATAATGGTTAAAACACGCTACCATTTGAGCTTCAAACATCAAATTTGAAAAGAACAAAAAAATAAATGTGTTTTACTTCAAAGATTAAAACAGATATGTACAGCAACAGCCATCCACAATATTTAACAATTCTTAGAGGAAGGCAATGTTCAAGATTCTAGAAAATTACAAGCTAGTACTGTGAGGTAGTATATCGAAAAACTTAGAAAGGTAAGACAAAACATCCTGAACTCCACCAAATTTCCAGCTGGCTGTGCCCAACTAACTGATAAACTAATAAAAACCAGCCAAATTATTAAAAAAGATTGCACTCTACTTTAACCACTAAGAGAATTACCCAAGACATTATGCCATTAATAGCAACTTACTCCACAGAAAATACGAAACAGAGGAAACTAAAACTAATCACGTTTGAATTGATTATAAAAACTGACAATTACAATAGCATTCAGGTCCTAGAACTGAAAGCAACACAGCTTTAGACCCAAGCCTAACTGGAAAAGCCACTAGTAGCACTTCAAAATAGATTTTTAGGACAGCTAACTGAATGAGCATGTCAATTTTAAAGACAGTCACCCTTGGGAAGCATACAAAAAGTTAGTCAAAACTTCAGGGGTGGCATATAATTTAATCTCTCTTTTTTTTTCTCCTTTTGCATCTTAGACCATCTCCAATGGTACACTTTATTTTAAAAAGCATTTTTCATATAAATAAAAAGTATCTTCATTAATTTCTAAATATAAAGAACATAATTTTTATTCAAATCCAATGCACTCTTTAAATTTAATGAAAATGTTCTTTATTTTCAAAAAAGAGACTTAATGAGAGAGAGAATTAATAAATAAAATGCATAAAAACTTGCAGTTTATTAATTAAAATTAGGATAGAGAATGAAATTTAACTCTCTAGATATGAAGAGTTAAACTCACTCTTTAATTTATATTTAAAGAATAAAGAGTCTACTGGACTCTTGTTTTTATGGATAGACTCTTTATAATAAAGAGTTTTGATCATATAAAAAGTCTTTTGAAGATACTCTTAGAGGGTTACATTATTAGTAATAAAGAAAAAAGTGTACATATTATTTGTAATCTCTCTTCAAGATTCATACCAGGGTCCCTTTGATTGTTGAGCTAACACTCTAACCAACTTGCAACAAAAGCTAGTATATTAATATAATTAAATCAAAAAGAAAAAATTTAATTGCAATCATAGTAAAATAAAAGGCAGAAACTATAAAGGTCCAAACTCACTTTTTCTGCACCTTTGATCAGAAAGTACCCTCCGTGGTCAAAATCACAATCACGTTTATCAGCATCCTTCATCCAGCAGAGGTCAGACTTCACCATCACCGGAATCCTCCCAATCACAATATCCTTATTATCCTCCCTTAAAACTTCCTTTTGAATATATTGTTCTTTTCCAGTTTTAAATTTGTCACTTCTGACGTTTTTCTGAGTATAAACCTGATCAATTACAAAGAAGCAACACAATACAAGTTATCAAAAAACTCAAAGACAAGGGCAGAAATTTCCAGAAAAACATGACACTTTCAGGTTTTTCTTTTCATACGAAAAAAATAACAGTCTTCAGAGTTTCAACAGTACAACTGCACTACGTTGTCAAGAAAGAGGAATTATGCAAAAGAAATAAATGAAGCATGGGATTAATGCAGTTTATTTGCACTAAAGAAAAGTCCAACATCAAAACTCAACTAATCAGAGAACAACATCAAACCCCAACTAATCAGAGAACATTACAGACAGTATTATACTAATTGTCAAGCCAACTGTTCTAATGTTATTACATGCATATGGTAAGAATCAAAACTTCAAACTCATTATTACAAATAGATTAGAATCAGACACTCAGATATAATAAGAAGGGCATTAACTGAAAGCATCAAGAGTTACACCCAACAAAATGGACACTATATCAAACACCATTAAAAAAATTAAAACAAAAAATATTAACAAATTCAAACTTATACAGGAAATAACAATAACTTTACTCACCTGAAGAGTAACATTTACTTTCATCCTAGATGAATATGTCATATTCTGAAGCCTGGCATGCCTAGGAAGCATATTGTGATCGGCACCCCCTTCAGTGCCAGCAAAAAAGCTTGGCTTATCAAGAGTGACTTTCCCAAACCTTACAGAAGCATAATGCCAATGAGGTTCTTTCTTCTTTGATGGATCATAACCAGGCTCAATTATAGTCTCACCCGCAGAATCAAAGACCTTCTGGATACCATTTTCAATGAAGTCATTGTATGAATTAATTTGGTGGCTAATAAGCCCATACTCGTTAAAGAATGACATAGAAGCCTTTCTGCAGAAAGTTTTCAGAGATTCTTCATCCAGATCAGCTATGCTGCTTAAGTCAGTAACTTCATCATCATCTATATCCATATCAGCTCCACTTGAAAACTTTTCACCCTTACTAGCCATGCCTATATCTTCTTTTGTATCTAATGATGCCCCCACTGGACTAAAAGTATGCAAAACAGAAATAAAGAAGCCAAATAAATAAAAATAAATTAATGCATAATCAAACAAAAGGAATTGTGCAATGAACATTAACACCAATATTCCAATTTGGTTTAAAAAAAAAGAAAAAAGAAAAAGAAAGAGTAGACCTTTTGGCTTCTCAATAGAACTTGGATATACGTACACATTACACTGAAGATAGAAATCTCACTCATAAAGGAATTTTAACCTTGAAAACCCATATAATTAATAAAAAATTATTAGTAAGAACTACAAAACAAACAACCAAACTCTCAACACCCACACACTTGTACAAAATGCAAAATAAAGATACAAGGGATTATTACAATTTGCATGTAAGCAATGACCCAGTTCCAGTTTTTAGGTCTTTTATCTATTTTTCCTTCTACAAAGTCATTAATACCCATAAACCCAGCAGATCTCACTTCCAAAACACAAAAGGTGGAAATTTTTTTCTAAGCCAAACACTTAGACATGAAGTAGTTTCAACTAAACATATATACATAACTGGTTTAATACTCAATCAACTCTAAGTAAAAAGGAAGCATCTTTAACTGTTCCAACAATTCCTTCCAAAAAAGAAAAGAGAAAGGAAAAAAATAAAAAACTAAAGAACCCTATATTGAATCTTAACCTTAAGAAAAACCCACATATATTAAAAAACAAATCACCCCACACACATTCAAACAGCAAAACCGTAAGCAGAGAAACAAGGATTACCACAATCTGCATGAAAGCAAAGTTCCAGCTTTGAGGTCTTATCTATTACTCTCCTAAAAAAGTCAATTACACAACCGAGCTGATCTCATTCCAAAACACAGAAAAGTAGAACACCTTCCTCAGAAAAAACACATAAACATGAGAGGCGGACCATAAAGAGGGCTTGCCTGGGCTGCAGTCCGGGTAGCCCTCTAGAAAAAAAAAAATTTTAACTTTAGGGATTTAAAAAAAAAAAAAAAGTATGTGTATATATATAATTAATTATTAATTACTTGGTTATTAATTCATTTTTCTAATAATATACAACATTTTTTAACAATTTTAGTTCATCTCACTTTGGTTATCTTTATATCGAAATGACTTTTATTTATCACCTACAGTAATATCTCAATTCTCATTACATTCATACATTCTGGGTTTTCAACTAAACATAAATGCATTAGTGGATTACAGTCAATCGACTCTAAATAACATAACCGAACCAAAAAGAAAGAACTTTTACTTCTTCAACTAAATCATCTAAAAATGAGAAGAACAAAAGACTAAAGAATGAAAATCACATTGGATCTTAAGAAAACCCATATAAACTCGAACAAGAAAAAAACACACACACATTCAAACAGCAAAGCCATAAGTAGAGATACAAAGAATATCACATTCTGCATGCAAGCAATTATACAAGGAAACTTTTCAAAGACAAAAACACTGAAACATGAAATGGTTTTTCCTTTTAAACTAAACACAAATACACAAGTGGGTTACACTCAATCAACTCTGACAAACAAAACCCAACAAAAAATGACACATTTTGATTGCTGCAACTACATCATCCAAACATTATTTAACAAAAAATAAAGAAAAGAAACTTACGTTGAGCTTCTACCGAGTGTTTAATCAAATATTGACTAAAATACTCACCACCCTTTTGCTCAAATTTGATTTTAGGGTTCACTAACTCTCCTGCTAAACAATTTGGTATTTAGGACTTAAGGAGTGCGTTGGGAGAGTGAGTGGGAGACTGTGCTTTTTATGAAGACGAACAGACTCCTAGAGAAAAAGCTGAAATTTTTATGTCACTGGAAGGTGAAATGACAGTTATGTCCTCTGTTCAGAGGGTAGTATATGAACAAGTACAGATTTTAGGGGGGAATTTGTAAGTGGGAAGGGTACGGATACTGTACGGTAAAGTGCTTGGTTACAAGACTCTCGCGACCCGGCCTTTGAACTTCTGTTGCCGGACTGGAAAACGGCATGCCGCTGTATAGGGGTAAAATTGATAAATTAGCCTGACACAGTGTCACAAGCCGGAGGCTCGATACCTAATCAATCTATTGATATAAACCCAACCCCAAAAGATAATTTTTTTTGTTTTTTTACCGGCCGTTTGCACAGACCTCGACTAATCTTTGATTTCAGTAAACACTATATAAATCAGGTAAATCACATATATCGTATTTGATAACATTCCACCATCCGGCCACAAACCAAGTGGTTTCATAAACATTAAGAATTTCATTGCTAATAAACAAAGATATTACTCAACTTGTGCCTTACTTTACAATTTGAATAGGTATTCTTACATTAACACCCACGAATACTAAGAATGAGGAGCTTTTTTATTAATCCTTTCCCCTTAAGGGATCATAAGTCTAAGAAGGCCTTGAACAACCCAAAAGCTTAGTTAAAAGGCCTTGTCTTATGTGGTTAGGTCATTATTTATGCCACATTCCACATTGTTCTCTGTTCAGCCTTTTGCATACTACTATATGCTAGCCTCTTATGACTTAGTGCATTGTGAATGCAGATTAACCCTCATTCTCAAAATAAAATAGATCTAATCGCTCTCTTTTTTAGATCCCTTTGTTTCACTCTGATATTATCATGAATCGAATTGTGTAGAAGAAATGAATGCATTTCCATACTCCTAAGTAAAATAGTTAAAAAAGTTATATGGATTATGATATATCACTTATTCTATTGGATCTTATTAAGCCTGTTCATACACGACATATCTAAGTGTGATTATAGAAAGGATTTTCTTTCAGTGAACCAGTAATACGTTTACAAGTCCTAAAACACTTGTAAACATGAGTGGACAAGGAATTACAAATTCTAAAACACTTACAAATTCGGTTGAATTGAAGAATTTCACTCAAAGTCCTAAAACACTTGGATTGTAGAATGTGGAATGCAATAGAGAAAATTCGGTTCAAGCAAGTTCCTAGAGGGAGAGAGGGAGTCAAAACATCTTGACCCAAACCATTCCAAGCCCAAGCTCAACAAGGGAAGCTCAAGCCCACCAAGAAAGAAGCCCACGTGTTGAAGTGATCAAATCCGGCCCAAGTCTTATTCCAAAGGGAAAGGTCCACATAAACCTTTATTAGATCCATTTGCATGATTCTCAAAGCCCAAACTCTTACACCTTTATTAGTAAACTTAATTAGGGTCATTGATCAAGTTTTGATCTAATTAAGTAAGCTTATTTCAACTAATGAGATGGTTAAAAATATAGATTCTAGAATTAGGGAATCATGTCTCTTTTGCATTAAATAGACATGACCTTGTTTTTTGAATGAATGACTTGTAATATCAATTAAGTTTACTTAATTTTAATGTATTTGTCAATTACTTGTTTATCTTTGTATTTGCCTATATAAAGACAACTATTTTCATTGTAACATTTAGCTTATGAAATATATGAAAATTGGTTTATCCATTTGAGAGAGAACTTTTGTATTCTTTGTTTGTGCATTCTTTATCCAAGTCTTGGCAAGGGGATTTGATAGTGAATTAATTCAAGTTGGTGGAGCAATCCTTTATGCTTGAAGTGTTTCTACTTATCTTGGTCCGAAATTGCAAGTAAGTGTAAGATTGTTCTTGTTTTGTATTTGGCCGAATTTTAACTTGGATTTATGGGATGTTGTGTTGTTGAATTGGTTGGAAATTGATCAACCAGTCTAGCCTATCCTCCCCATATAGGGGCTGTTGGAACAAAAACACATTTGTTTGTGAATTTGAATGTTAAGTTGGGCAAACTGATGATTTATGGCCTCAAAATGTATGACATTTTTGTTTCCATCTTCCATCAACATACTCAAGGGTCATCATAATACTGAATTCCCAGTATTCATATAAAGGAAATATAAAAGACCACCATGCTACCAAGAAGTGAATAATGCTTTCACATACATTCAAGAACAGAACACAACAACTTAGTGATTTGGGTTGAGGGAATCCCTGCAACAATATAGCAGTATTTGCATTTATTTCTCAAAGAATATATTTGAGCTGACATGACTGAATAGCCTGGCTGTACATCAGCCACATCCAATAGATGATTGTTGATTTTTATTATAGTGAATGGAAAGAGTTTATTCCAAGTGAACATGAGAGAACAGGTGATGAGTCTAATAATAACCAAAATAGGAGATGTTTCAATCTAGTCGGCGGAGGAGGTACTCAACTTCAACAACCTTGGTAAGAGGCATTACCCAATCTTCATAGAGTTTAGAAACTATAGATGGATCAATCTTGCACTTCCCTTCTGTGCCATTGCTACAAAGAGCCACTTCTTGCCCAAATATCATTGCCTTCTTCTCAACCCTCCTCTTCACCATCTCTTCTACATGCTCAAATGTCAATAACTTCATCAGAGCATCACTGTCCTGAGAGAACCAAAACACTAGCTTAGTAATATGCCAAATTATTGATGAGTTGTCTGAAGTTCTAGAATGACAGTAAGAAATTGGAAGTAGGAAAAGAGTAGCAGAATTTCATCATTCAGTTATTGTCTAGGACAATTGAATCATATAAGAAAAAAAAAATCCCCATACCATAGGAAGACAATAAATTAACTGAGATTTCATCAAATGCAACATAATACAATGCAGATTCTATATGCCTGGAAACAAAGTAGCGTAAGATAGTAGTTGAGGCAGAAAACACAACATTTTATCAATGATTATTTGTTTCAAAATAGAATTTGTCACACTGCAACTTATTAGTTATAGGTCCTGAAAACTTTCAAGTCTCACTGGTTCTTCAGATTGCTGAGAACAAAACGCTAATATTAACTAGCAGGAAATACTACAGTGCTCAACAAGAAACTTTTAATACCTTAGCACGAATCAAAGGCTCGTAATCTTGAGGGGCCTCCCGGAATTTAACCTCAGCTACATATTTTCCATAATGTATTCTTCTGGAGAGAGCCTGCACACAAATATAAATCATATTTATTCCTTACAATTAACATAACAAATCATGACCTCCCTCACTCTTCATCTTGAAGAGGATACTTATGTATTACTTCCCAGAGCAAACTGATAAGAGACAAAATAGTTCCTTACCTGAAGACAGTCAAGATCACTGGTGGCAGTTGATGCATAGTTGCCATCATCACCCTCAGCAACCAAAACTGGAAGCAATTGATTGAAGTATTTATCCCATATGGTACTGTTTATGTTAATAGAAGCAGATGGAGGATGCAAAACCTATAATTGGCATTAGCCCAAAAGTTCACAAAAACTTAATTTTCTTCAGAAGTAAAATTACAGAAAACAAAAACCGAAGTTTCGGATAATAACTAACTTACCTGAGGATAGTTGTGGGGTGGTAACAGTGAACCTGGTAAATTATCAGGAAAGAAAGGATGTTCTTCTGGGTTTTCATACCTCCCAACCTGTTACACAACAGATCATTTAGCATTTTTGTTAGGACATTCTATTGCAAAAAAAGTTCACATACTCTGCATAAGATTGAACAATCTGAAACTGATTAACTATAAATAAACAAATTGGACCCATTTGATAATTTGTTAACATAACAGAGTAAAATAATTGCACCCATTTGCGTACTAATTATGCATACTATATAGTTTAACTGGTTTAAAAACTGCTCACAAAACAAAAATAAAAAAAAAAGGTTTGGGTTCGCATTATGTTTGTCAGTTGAAAAGGAAAATCTTTAAAAAGGAAAGTGGACCCACTAGATAATTTGTTAATAAAAAGAAAGAACGTTAAAGGAAAAGAAGAAAGCAAAACATATATTGTACGCAACGTAATTTCCAAGAAGGAAGAAACTTACCACGGCTTGAAGGTTCTCTGACTGAGAAACAATGTATTGAAACAAAGAACCAGAAAAGCCAGGAATGGAAGCGTAAGAAAGATCATAAAGAGGAGAATTACGCGGGTATTTAGCTCGCTCAATAAGACTAAAAACAATAGTATCTTCTTGTCTGATCAACGACTCCCTCACAGACTCAAGCGTAATAACCATCTCAGAAACTGATTCTGACTCCGTTTTCGCCATGTTAACTCTCCACAAACAAAACACAAAAATCTCGAAAATTGTTTAGGTGGGGAGAGTTTGTGTTGGGAGAGGTTGATATATAAAGCGTGAAGAGAGAAAGGCAAGTGGGAAAAAGAGGAGAAAGTAGGTGGGGGTGGTTTTGTAACGTTTTGATTTGTTATGTCCCCAAAGAGAAAGTCAGATTCAGAATCATTTAAGATGAAGAGAACGTTAAATGTTTGCTTAAGCGTGGATGCCATGTTAGGATTTTGTTTGTTGGTTGTTAGTGGGGACGAACGTGAAACACGGATTAATTTATGTGAATCCGCGCATATGACACGGAGTAATTTACTTACTGATTAAGCATCGTGACTTATATGCTGCAGATTTTTTTTCTTTTAGTGTCCAGACAAGGCAGCTGGGACATTAATAAATTCTGAAATAAAGTTTGGAATTCATAATCTAACACTACTATTTGTGGGTTTGGATCTCAAGAAATCCCACGTTTTTGGGGATTTTTTTTTATATAGGATCCCTTGCATGAGGTGATGATATGGAAGGTCCTTCAATTAAACAAAGTTATGTTTTAAGAAGAGAGAAACTTGAAATCAACCATTGGCCTTGTGATCGGACGATATGACTTTAACCATCTAAATGGATTACCTAAAAATCTTGTATTATTGAGTTTTACGGGCCGTTATTAAAAAAAAAATAAAAAAAAATTGAAATCATGTGACATGGTTTCTCTTTTAACTAAATATACAATTTGGCAACTGGATCAGTTTAATAATGTGATATGCCTATCTCGACTAAGTATTTCTTTATATTGTAGTGTTTGCTTCAAAAATTCAATCTGGTGATCACTTTTTGGTAGCATTCTACCTAAAAGGATAAAAAACAATAATTGGCAGATAAAGAAACATTGGTATAGAAGATAAGCATGTAAAAGGACAAATTTTATAAGTTTCTTCTGTACAACTAATATCCGTCTTCTGTACAACTAATATCCAACGACGACTAAAAAGATTGAGTGAATGCAGAGAAACAAGGAGTGCGATGTACAGGTCCTGTGTATTGAACAAAAAAGTGGGAAGATGAGAGTTTACAGTTTATAATTCAAGTTCTTCATCACCTTCTCAATTTTCATTGTTATACCATCTGCAAACTACATTTCACACTGTGCAATCCTGAAGCAAAGGAAAATAAATTATCTATCAATCATCAAACATACACGAGGAAGAGTCAAGAACTCACTCTCAAAGGCTACATTGCAAATTGATGCCCATGATAAGAAATGATATGTTTCTTTTTCATGCTAAGAAATAGGCCGTGAATTTGCTGGAATGTGCTGCGAAAGAAGCTTTGCAGTGTCTTTCCACCAAGTAATCTCTATATCTTTCTCACAAAGCTTGTGCCTGGCACATTCCAAAGCAGCTTCTAGCTCTGTTATCTGCTCTTGTTGCCTTCCCTCCAGTACTTCATGCAATCTTCTCTCAAGTTCATAGGGCGGAATTCCATAATCTACTTCTGTGCATTCCTCCTCTTGAGGGTCAATTTCAGGGTTGATTACTTCTCCAGAACTAAAACTTTGACTTTTCGCAGTATCAGTGTCATTAAAAGTTACCTGCCAATTCTAACACTCAGAAGAAACAACTATGGATATGTCTATATGCAAGATAAAACAAGAGCACAAATCTTGGAGAACTATAATACATAAAGGTACTCTTAAATGGCTTGCATCCAATCGGAAAATATGGATCCGCAAAATTTTCACAAAAAAGAAAATTCACTGGTTTTGATCTAGAAACCGAAAAAGCTTTTTGCTTGATTATAAACAGGAGCTTTTCCACAATTGAAATTCTAAAAAGATAAAATAGATTCCAACTCTATCCACAAGAAACTCTTCAGTATTCGGGTGGCTCCACGCTTTTCTACAGTTGACCTGTTTGAACTTAATAAAAATAATTTTGCAGGCCTACACTACATCAAACTCTTTGAGAGAGAAAATTAATTTTAGATAAACAGTACATCAGTTCCTGAAACCACAAAAAAGACTACTTCCCTCAGTGGCACTAACAAACATTTATATAGTAATCTACTCAAAGACATATATTAATAGTAGTTCATTCAGAAACAAGTACCACATTTGCAATAGAGAAAACACTTCAGATACCTCTATGCTTTGCTGTTGTGGATGTTGCAATAAAAATCGTTCTAACTCTGCCTCAAGTTCTGCTTCAAGTGGGTCCATTCCTTTTGGACATTGTTCTGATTTAGGCGTGTCACAGTCCGAAGACTGATCACACATCATAATTGTTGGTGACACTGGTAAAACATATGATGTTTTACTGTTATGTAAAGAATGATCATAACTAGACTCCACGCCTTCTCGAACATCAATGGTTGAATTAGGAAATACACTAGTGAACTTAAACGGGTCGGCCAATGTATCTTTGGCTTCCAGTTCCTTTTTGGCATCTTGAAGAAGCATTTCCATTTGGGTCCTCAACTCCATCATCTTATCGTGTTCAGTCTTACTTGCAGCAATCAGATATAACAAATAACATCCAACTCCCATATTGAAAGAGGGCTCTGTCGGACATCCTAACATTACAAATAAAAGTCACTAAACAATACTTAAAAAAAAAAACAGATAGGGCTAGCAGCACAAACATGAGATTTCATGTGATCGCACCCAAATTAAAGGTTTGAGGCCATTAATTTTCATCCGTAACCATACATTTTCTATAGACTTAAAATAAAGAGGCTATTCATCAAATGAGGCTAAGGCCTACTATTAACTTTCGAAAAACTTATCATCGGCCAAGGATTTTCGTCAAGCCTCAAGGTGTGTCTTTTATTAACCCAAAAAATTAAATACATATATGAATAAAAGAATTCGATGAGACCGCCCCATTGTCCATTGACATGTCATCATCCACATGTCTATCCAATATAACACATTTCCTGCAAATATTCGCATGAAAATCGATAAACATACAATTAAAATGGTAAAAATTTCCCAAATTTTGCTACTATTCACCTGACTGATGATTCTGCGGGTCCATACACGGCGAATCACCGCCGTTGAGTAAATCCGTCGAACACTTGTCATCTGACGTCACATCTTGCTCTCTCTTTTCAACTTGGCCAGAAATCTTCTTAAATTTAGCCGCTCTGAACCGGGAAAACCACCGTGAAACAACGCCGATACAGCCCTCCATCAACAACAATTCACCGTCTCCGGCTCCGACTCCGTCTTTCTCTTCTTCCTGTTCTTGGTCTTCGTCTTTAATTAATAGAATATCAGCGATTCGTAAACGAGGAGAAGAGTCATTAATAGCACTGTTCATTTTGAGAATTGAGCGATGCAATGTAACAGTATTGAGAATTAAATGCAGTGAAGACCCCAATAAATGACTGCTGATTTTGGAGGGAAATTTTAAATTCTCCTAAATTAGGGTTTTTTTTTTTTATCAATGGATATCAAGAGTCATTGTCAACTGATACATTGAACTCTCACATCGGAATTAGGCCGAACGACTTCCGCACACCCAAGGTTTGCCGAAATTGGTATCCAAAAGGTTTTAAAATGATAAATAGGTACCTTCCATCGTATTCTATTAGTGAATTTTGTTTGATAATAGTGAAAAAGGTAGAATGTCCTTGAAAATTTGATATTTTAGCTTTTTATAAATTTAAAAATTTCTAAAAAAATCCCCTAGGTTTGCTAATTTGACTAAATACTCCAATATATAAAATTTTTATAAAATAACAAAAATACCCCTGTCACCCGCAATGCCAGATTCCGACCACTACCGCCAGAATCTGGCCGAAATATTGTGTTACGACATAGACCCGTCAGATTTGTGTTGTAACGCGTAGATCTGGCATTTTCCGGCTACGCACGTATCTTACTGGAAAAGGCCAGATCTACAGCTAGATCTGGTTATCGAGGTCAGAATCTAGTCGAAAAATTACGTTGCGACACAGACCTGTAGGATATGTGTCGTAATGGGATTGCGTTACGAAAATCACTAACAGAACATAACGGAAGGTACCTATTTATCATTTTAAAACTTTTTGGGTACTAATTTTATTTTAACAAACCTTGGGTTTGTGTAAGTTGTTCGGCCTCAGAATTATAAAAGAAAATTTATGGGAAAAGATTATTGGTGTCGTTTTATTCCACATATTAATGGTTGTTCTTATGACAATGGATGATTTATATAGAAATCCTCTATAATTGGGCTGCCCAGTATTTATTAGAGCCCAACACATTTCTTAAATGCTCACCCAATTTGTAAATTTGAATCGAATTCTTTTTTAATGAATTAATATATATAATAAAATAATTATATTATAAAGTTTTTAGAATAATAGACATAATATTAATAATCAATTTGGTTACATAATACTATATTAAATCTGGTGGAGCGGGCTGGTGACATCAACATGGATAAAATAATTTTCTTCAAATTTGGAAGTTGTGTTAAATTATAAATATTCAATAATAATTTAATGAACATAAGTTTTGAATTAGATATGATAAAAGGAATTATACATGACATGAGTCAAAGGTAACAACAATGTTGGCTAAATATAAATTTAAAAAATTAACCAAGAGTCAAATAACAATATACTACTTTGGATATCCCTCAAGACTTCATTATTCAGTGGATTCGTTAAGGATATTCTTATATACACTTTGGTGCTATTAAACTTGCTCTATCCTATCATGGTTGAAAAATACTCATTGTCCCAGTTCGAATTGCCTTATTAGACAACACATTTGTCAATTATCAAATGCTTGTATAGAAATGGCGTAGACAACCCTAATTGCCGATGAAAAAAAAAAACAAAAAAACAAAAAGAGATGGAGAGATGGGAGAACAATAAGTTATTTTGAAAACCCATTAGGACTCCATTTCTGAGTGGATCCGTTAAAGATATTCTCATATGCACTTTGGTCTTATTAGACTTATTTTATTTTTAACCACTTAGGTTGTAGCCGGATGACAAGACTTTTGGGCTGCGTTTGGTTCAATATTTCTACCCATATTCCCAATCCTATTCTCCAAATATTGTTTGGCACATTATTCCATAAATATTGCTATATTTTTTAATTACTTTTAGACCCCTTAAGCTTATTAATTTCATTAAATACCCTCCAAAAAAGTTTAAAAATTAACAAAAACACCCCCATCAACCCATACTTGCCAGATTCCTGCAACCACCATCTGTGGTAGCCAGAATCTGTACAAAGGCCTACACCAGGACGGCCACTGGCAGATAGTTCACCGATCTGGTCTTTTTCGACCAGATCTGGCCGTCAGCAACGGCCAAAGATGGTCTTCTTTGGCCTTTTTTGGCCGTCGACGGCCACATCTGGTTGCCTAGAAAAGGCCATATCGACGCATTACGACACAGATCCGATCGATCTGTGTCGTAATGCAATTTTTTGGCCAGATTCCGGCGGTGGTGCCAGAATTTGGCACTGCAGGTGGTGGGGGTGTTTTTTTTCATTTTATATGTTGGGGTGTTTAATTAAATTAGTAAACCTAGGGATTTTTTTTATAAATTTTTAAATTTTACCTCGTAATACTCCACTATTCAACTATCCAATATTATTCCTAAAATCCTATCCAAAATAATGAATCAAACGCACCCTTGATTACCCAGAAGTTTTGTGTTTGAGTCTCACAATATAACCACCCATCATATTTGTGATTTATCTAATCTATTGGGTTCGTAAAATATTCAATAAACTCTTACAAACCTTAGTTTAATAATTTAATTATTCGTTAATCATAGGAAAATGTCTTTAAAGATTACCATAATAATCAGAATTTGACCATAGGGAAAAAGCAATAGAAAGTGGCTATTTATATTTTTAAGATTATTTAGAAGAAGTACAAGTGACAAAAGCCTTGATTAATGGTTAATCATGTACTTTTCATTTTTCAACAAATAAACATGCGATAAAGTGATCCCATGGACCGGTTATCGTCGACTATGGCCTCTCGTTGCCTCATTTTGCGCCACGTTTCCTCACATTACTCCAATTAAAATCAAAATCCTTATGGTTTATAGTCTAATTTAATTATTATGACATAGGTAACTATAATTCAATTAGATTATGGAAATTTTGAAATTTTATTATTCTTTTATAATTATAAAAACGAAATTTGTTTATTTTTTTAACGTGATGAGATTTTATTTAATTCTTTTACATAATTATAAAATCTCATACACGAAAATATAAATTTCCTTAATAAATTCATTTATTTTAATGATAATTATTCATGAATATGATTTCAATAGCAATACTCTAGAGGATACTAAGACAATAATCCACCGCTATGATGACCCACTTAAATCGTGGATGGTTAGAAGAAGAATCGAATTCGAGACTGTGCGTTTATTTCCATTATCTCTGATTCATCATAATTATCTGAATTATTTATGAATGTGTTAATAATACCATTTCACATATAATATAATCAAATCATGATAAATCTATTTTAAAATTTTTCATTAGCCTTGTTAAGAGAAGCTAAATAATTATATGGATTTTTTTTTTTTTTTTTAAAGATCTGAACATTTTTACTGGAAATTCAAGGATGCAGGCAATATTATTATAGTATTAAAAAATAAAATAAAAAGCCAATTGTAATTATAATATTTATTTGATAATATAAGTCAAATTGTCCAGGGCCTTGTGGAACACACGTGCTAACAATCCAGTACTCATATAATTTCTCTGATTTTTTGTAAACCGAGAAAGCCAAAAATAAAAAAAATAATTAAAAAAATAAAAATAAATAAATAGATAAAAAACAAAGAAGAATGATAAATTAAAATTACAAGAGACATCATAATCATCATCATCCATTTAACAAACACACAGAGACAGAGACACAGACAGAGACGTTGAGACAAACCTCAGATCCTTGGATTCTCCTTTCTCATTCTCATTTTTCTTCTCCATAACAAACTTGCCCTATCTATCGCTATCAAACCCACATGGAATATTCCATTTATTTCTATTACTTTCTTCTTTTTTGGGCAACTCCCTATCTCTGTTGATTGAAAGCTAAGTTTATCCTATAAGTGTGAATGTCAAGACAACAATGGTAATGCCCACATGAGTGTTTCGTAAAGACCCGGCAAAATTCATTCATGCCTCTGCTGTCTCAATTTACACTCACTCTCTTCAATCCCATTGTTTATTTGATCTGGGTTTGGGTTGTTTTTTCTCTCGTTTCATTGTGGCATTTTGTCGAACGTTTGGGTGATTTTTTTGGATCCTTGAAAAACAATGGCTTTGTTTAAGAAATTCTTTTACAGGAAGCCACCTGATGGGCTCTTGGAGATCTCTGAACGGGTCTTTGGTATGCTTTTCCATTCATTTTGTTTTTATTTTGATGAGGAAAAAAGAAGATTTCTTGTATACGTACAATGCTCTTTCTTTATGCTAACCGAAGATACATCATCATACAATTTTTTCTGTGATTTATAATTACCTTTGTGTGATATAAATGGAGACATTTTTGTTTAATAATTATTCTTCTCTTCATTAAGTTTATGTTCTTTCATAGATAAAGCACAGTTGAGTCTATTTTAAACTATGCTAGTGCATCATGCATAGTCTTTGTCAAATGCCATGAAAATGTTGAGTTGTTGGATTATATTTCTTAAAGGCGAGAGTGCCTGTTGCACTGAAACCTCATTCCATTATAATCTTAGAATGCAATCAGTAACTCTTCTTTTTTCGCTTTTGAATCATCAAGTATTTGATTGCTGCTTCACCACGGACATTTTAGAAGATGAAGGATATAAGGTGTACATAGGAGGTATAGTGGGTCAACTCCGTGAACACTTTCCTGACGCTTCATTCATGGTGTTTAATTTTCGAGAAGGGGAGAATCAAAGCCAGATTTCTCATATATTGTCTGAGTATGATATGACTGTAATGGATTATCCTCGTCAGTATGAAGGTTGCCCGTTACTCTCAATGGAGATGATCCATCACTTCTTGAGGTCAAGTGAAAGTTGGCTCTCCCTTGGGCAACAGAATGTGCTCTTGATGCATTGCGAAAGAGGTGGGTGGCCAGTCTTGGCCTTTATGCTTGCTGCCCTCTTGATATACAGGAAGCAGTTCATGGGGGAGATGAAAACTTTAGACATGATTTACAAGCAAGCACCTCGTGAGCTTCTGCAGCTGATGTCACCATTGAATCCATTACCCTCTCAGCTGAGGTACCTTCAGTATGTCTCAAGAAGGAATGTGGCCTCCGAATGGCCTCCACTGGATAGGGCACTTACACTAGATTGTATTATTCTTAGAGTCATCCCCAGTTTGGATGCAGAAGGGGGTTTCCGCCCAATATTTAGGATATATGGGCAGGATCCTTTAATGGTTGCTGATCGTACACCCAAAGTTTTGTTCTCAACACCAAAAAAGAGCAAATTTGTTCGGCATTACAAGCAGGTGACTTTAAGTCTCTTTACTTATATAATTTGTTTGTCTTGTTATTTACGAAGTTAATCGTGGATTGTTCCAGATCAAAAGGAGAGATTCCAAATTGGTATTCAGTCAGCCATTCTTGTCTTCAAGTCCAACTCAAGGCCATGTATATAGAGTGTACTGAAATTAACCCGAATACTCCACATAGGCAAACAATAACTAGAATTTGATTAGGAAAATTAAAATCTAACTAAAACAAGTAATGGAATATTTAAATTTCTAAAACAAATTACTTCTTATAATAACTGGTAAGACTCATTTCTAGATACTTCGTCGACAGGTTACCCTAAAGATGAACATAACTGCTGTACAAATAATTTCCCTATGGTGCTTCATCATATGATTTCTTTGTCTAACTCGCAAGAAAAATAAAAGAGGATAAAAAGTTGACAGATGATTACTGTTACAAGATGTCTTAGCTGAGATGTCGGTATTGCAATATTTGATATTTCAAGTCAAAATTAATCTGGTAGCAGTGACCTAGACACGTCTTCAATCCAAAATCCAAATAGAACTGTGATAAGGGTCATTGTCTTGTTGACAGTAGCGAAAAATATTAAGATCTTGTGGTTCTTGGCTTCTTTCTAACCAGAAAACAACAAAGAAGAGATATATCTTGTGTTTCTTCTTCAAATTGTGTTTATAATTGCACTTGCCTATGGCAAAAGGTTTCTTTGCTTGTTAAGGGTCTACTAGGGAGGTACAAAAAACTTATGTATATAGAATCTTTTTTTTTTTTTTTTCTTCCAGTACTTTAATTCAAAGGTGCATTTTATGTTCTTCTCAAACTTGATCATACACATATTTAGCTCCCTCAATTATTGTTGCAGGCAGATTGTGAATTAGTAAAAATTGACATCCATTGCCATATTCAAGGTGATGTTGTGCTTGAGTGTATTAGTTTGGATAGTGATCAAGAGCGTGAAGAGATGATGTTTCGGGTCATGTTCAATACGGCCTTTATAAGATCAAATATTTTGATGCTTAACCGTGAGGAAATTGATATCTTGTGGAATGCTAAGGATCAATTTCCTAAGGAGTTCAGAGCAGAGGTATCTATTAGCTTTCCTCTGCTTTTGAATTTGTTTACTCTATTTGAATTTTATGGAATTAATATATTGTATCTGGATGAAGGTTCTTTTTTCAGAGATGGATGCTGCATCTTCTCTAGTTTCATTTGATTTGCCGGGTATAGAGGAGAAGGATGGTCTTCCTATAGAAGCATTTGCTAAAGTTCAAGAAATTTTTAACAATGTTGATTGGCTGGATCCGAAGGTAGATGTTGCTCTAAGTGTGCTCCAGCATATCACACCATCAAGTATCCTTCAAGAAAAGTTGGACACTTGTCTTTCCCAAAGTCCAAGAACGGGCAGTGTTTCACTAGAATCAGATCTTGAAAAATTTGTAGAGAAGCGTAAATTGAATGCATCAGACAGTAACATCAGGAGTCCTAGACCCATTGCGCAAGCGAAACAATCTACGCCACTGTTTAAACCTTCTCTAGATGCAAATTCCCTCTCCAAGAAGATTGAACCCCAAGAACTTCAGATTACCCTCCAAAGGCCTGCTCAATCTAAGATCATTTCTCAGCGATTATCTCAGACTCCTCTGTCCACTTCAGCTTCATTTTGCAACTCCTTGCAAGGGTCACCTGTGTCTATATCAAGATATCATAGTGCACCCTCGAACCTTGGCATTACAGCTCTATTGCAAGATCATGATGTATCTAATAGTGAAGAAGTTGCTCATCAGGTGACTAGATCTCTACCTACTGCAGCTACTTCATCTCCTTCCATCACAAATAAACTGAAACCTTTGCAGCTGAGTCATGTACCTGCTTCACCACCGTCACCACCAATGCTGCCTCCTTCATTGCAGTCTTCATTGGAGGCTCATAGAGTTATTAAAAAAACTTCTGTGATCCCTCCTCCTCCTTCTCAACCATCTGCTGAAGCAACACAATCTTTACCATTACAACTTCCTGGAACCACATCTCAAGGCAAAGAGCAGTCATTATCAGTTCCATCTATCCCATCTCCAGTGCTTTCCACTTCAAAGGCATCTACTCCTGTTACCAAGAGCTCGCATTCAACTCTCCTGCCTCCTCCTCCACCTCCTTCTTTTTCAGGGGCATCTCAACCTCTGATAGCCAAGAATTCATTGTCGACTCCCCCACCTTGTCCTCCATTCTCACCTCCCTCTTCAAGAACATCTTTGTCTTCCTCTGTCAAGAACACAATTTCAACACCCCCTCCTCCTCCCCCACCGCCCCCACCCCCTTCTTTTTCTGGAACATCTCCATCTTCAACTGTTAAGAACTCATTTTTAACACCACCTCCTCCTCCTCCACCACCTTTTTTGGGGGGAACATCTCCATCTGCCGCTGTTGATAACTCATTTTCAGCCCCCACTCCTCCTCCACCACCCCGTCCAGTTATTTCATCAGCTTCTTGCTCTGTTTCTTCTCCACAGTCTACAAAGAGTTCGGCAATTACATCCAGACCTCCTCCACCACCTCCCCCTCCCTTAAAGTCTGGGGGTTCTATTATTGCACCTTCAGTGCTGCCGCCGCCTCCACCTCCTATAAAGTCTGTGGGTTCTATTAGTACACCCTTTGCGCCGCCGCTACCCCCTCCTCCAAATAAATCTGTGGATGTTCCTCCTGTGCCACCTGCACCAGCTCCTTTATCAAAAGCTGGCAGTGCCTCTCCGCAATCTCATTCTGGAGTGAGTAATGGTAGTATCCCCCCTATTCCTGGACCTCCCTCTGCTGCTCTATTCAGTGGAAAGGGACGAGCAATATCACGTGCAAATCCCAGAGGTCAATCTCAACCTAGAAAGACCAACCTGAAACCATATCATTGGTTAAAGTTAACCAGAGCAATGCAAGGAAGCTTATGGGCTGAAGCACAAAAACTGGATGAAGCTTCCAAGTATGCATCATGTTGTTAGTGTCTGTTCTTTCTTCGGTTCCATTTGCTTAATAATTCTTTGATCTCTATGCTTTTGTTGGCATTTAATTGCTCTGATTTTTTTGTCTGGGCCAGGGCTCCAGAATTTGATATGTCAGAACTAGAGAGTCTTTTCTCAGCTGCTGCTCCGAATTCAGATAGTGGGGGCATCGGTGGGAAGTCAAATCGCCGCCCCTCAGGAGCCAAATCTGAGAAAGTTCAGCTGGTAATTAGTGTTCAATTTTTGTCGAAGAATGTAATGTTAGGTTACTTGGCCCACCAAAATTTGCCTTTTGTTCCTGTTAATGACATTGACTCAAGATTGTCAATCTTGTCATGTGCTTCATCCAAGCTGGCATATTGGTCTCAACTTCCTAATTGGTCTGGGCTTTTACCTAGTTCTGCTTGGTATTTTTCTGTAATGCAATGTATTGAGATTGGATTTGTCAGGCTGGAAAATCATTCCATCTGGGTTACTTTCATCTCCTGGTTCTGATGGGTGATTGTTTCCGGTTAAGGCTTTAGTTTTTACTTTAATCAGGGAACCATTATACCATGCAACAATGTTCAATCTAAAATTATTACAATCATCAAGATAATGGTCAACAATGTAATTTGAGCTGCTTCAGTACTTACTTATCTTCTGTGTACCATTTGTTTTTCCTCTTTTTCTTCCTGTCCTTTTGGGTGGGGGTTGGTCTGGCTACACGTCTTAGACTCAAATCTTTCCAAATAACACACTGTTACACAGTCATGCACTTCCCAGTCTCTTGTTTGCTTGCCATACTACGTTTTTCATGTTAAATTGAAGTAATTTGAAGTTGTGCTGGTTCCAAATTGCTTTCTCTTTAATGAATTCTATTTTATTAGTTTTTTCCGTGAATTAGTAAATTGTTGATTGTTTTTGCACATATGTGCTGGCATTAAATTAAGTTTCATTTAGAGATGGCCTTGTTTGTTTTTTTATCTCTTCTTAATTAAATATCAATAATCATCTGTGGTTATCTAATATTTTGTTGCCATATCACCACATATTTACTGGTTTTGCAGATTGAGCTTCGGCGGGCTTATAACTGTGAAATTATGCTTTCAAAGGTTAAAATTCCGTTGCCTGATTTGATGGTAAGCTGAATTATTGTTTTTTTTTTTTGAAAGTAAACTTCTTGATAAATTTTTCTAAACCTAGGTTCTTTAAGAAATTCAATTCAAAATGATAATATATTGCATATTTGATCATTGTGGAGTTACTTATTACTCCTTTTCGTGCTCTGTCTTGCTTTCTTACCCAAGATTTTTTGTTACATATTATATAGTACATTTTGAATTAACTTGCTCCTGGCTTTTACTTGGGTGGCACAGTGGGATTGGGGTAAATCTTAGGTGTGAATCTTACTGATTAATTCCTTCTCTTTCTTAAATAAAAAATTGAAACGATTTTCTGTTTCTTCGAGGGTACATATACCAAGACTTCCACAGTTGATTTCTCACGAGAACATAGGGGAGCATTTCCTTTTAAATTTCCCTGGTCCTTGCAGATCGTTCACTGATTAGGAAATTATAGTTCCTCCAATTCATCCATTAACAGATTAGAGCTCATGGGTAGTTATCTTACATTTGTTTCTTTCCTGCTAATGTCTCACAGAGTTCAGTCCTTTTATTGGATGATTCAGCATTGGATGTTGATCAGGTTGATAACCTTATTAAGTTTTGTCCGACTAAAGAAGAGATGGAATTACTCAAGGTATTGAAAATTTGAATGCTTTTCTGTCATAATAACGTGTGCTTTTCCTTTTCCTATCAGTAGAAATCTTTCTTTAATGGCATGGTGCTTCTTCAGACTTACAGTTGTACATTTATGTTCAGAATTATAATGGCAATAAGGAAAACTTGGGAAAATGTGAACAAGTGAGTATAATATTCTTTTGCTTATGTTGTTTTTCTCTTTCAAATTTATGTTACTGTTCAGTTAGGCTATTTCCTCTCATATGAACTGATACTACAAATAAAGTGGCTGACCTTGCCCTTTCATTATTCTTTCTTTCAATTAATCAAACAATGGAAAAAGATCTACGATGATAACATGTGAGCTTAAGTGGTAGAGTTGCCGTGTATGGTTTGGGAAAATAACATTCAACTTTCTCTTCTATTTTGTTCTAATTAACAGCCTTGTGCATTTTGTGATAGTTCTTCTTAGAACTGATGAAAGTGCCACGGGTGGAATCAAAGCTAAGAGTTTTCTCATTTAAAATACAATTCCGTACCCAGGTGAGAGGACAATCTATTTAATCTTCTGGCTCACATGATGCTTCTCAGTTTTGTTTTTACCAGTTTTCATGAAGCATTTTCTTTTCTTTTTCCAGGTTTCTGACCTCAGAAATAATTTGAATATTATAAATTCTGCATCTGAAGAGGCAAGTTGCTTTTCTTTTCTAATTTTCTAGCTCCTTTAAATGATAATATATCGTTTAACATTCTCATCTTTCACACTATTGCTACTATTGTGCTCATCAGGTCAGAAATTCAGTCAAGTTGAAAAGGATCATGCAAACTATTCTTTCCCTGGGTAATGCTTTGAATCATGGAACTGCAAGGGGTGAGTTACATCTCATTTGTTAGTACTTGTCTTTCTGTACCATCTGAAGAATTGATATTATATGTATCTTTGCATTCTAAATTTATTTCATCACAAGATAACTAATGAGCTTACGCTCTTAAGTTAGGAATGGATTATGGTCTGTTAGTGTAAACTTGAAAAGGTGACAAGAAATGGATGGTGAATACTTAAAATGGGTTGAGATACATGGATTAGCAAGTGACTTATTAGGATAAGTAAAAAAAAGGAGCAACCACTCTGACAGGAATTAGGCGATTTTGAAGGTGAAGATGAGAGCTAATGTACAACATTGATGGTATCTGTGCCACCTTCAATGATTGGGTCTATAGATTTTTATTCTCTCTTTGCTTTTCCTTTTATTTTTTAATTGTTATACTATTATTACCGGGTGTAGCATGGTCTTACCTAAATTTTGTAGGTAGCTAAGGTGCAAACATGTGCTCACCCTTGATTGCTTTTTGCCAATGGATATTCCAGTCATTCATAATCTCAAGCAATTTCTTTTGTCTGTCCCGTGTATTCTTTCTTAGAAGAACCTATATATGCTATTGTTATTTGTTCCTTTATTGAGATTTTGATATCATTGCTGAAGGTTCTGCTGTGGGATTCCGATTGGATAGTCTCCTCAAACTCACTGATACTCGAGCCCGGAACAACAAGATGACTCTCATGCATTATCTGTGTAAGGTAGAATGCCTAGTAACACATGCATTGCTTGCACACTTTGTTCCAGCCCATCGGTCTATACTCTTAATAAGAGTAGATGGCATTACCTTTTCCTCCTTTGACTTAGATTTTTGCTTCAGATACATGTACATATGTGTATTTATTGATGAATATTATATGTGGTTGTATGTATGTGGGTATCTCTGATATTATGTCATCATGTCTTGCTTATGTAAGTGCACAATCAGGTATCTTTTGATTGGAATTAATATCCATGAGTATGGCCTGCTTTTATATTGTGAGATTTTATAAATTGGAAATAAATTGATTTATGGTGTAGACAAATGTAATAGGTCCTATAAAAGAAAATCCTATCAAAAAAAATGTAAAGGGATGAGCATTTGCATTTTACTAGTTTGGTCCCACCTGGTTTCATTTGTGAACTTTAGATAGAAAATATCCAAAAGATAACAGAATCATAATGTGTAGTTCCTATGGAAAGTAACTTTTGTCCTCAATATTGATTTAGTCACAAGTAAAGAAAGATGGGGTGAAGCTTCCTGTAGTTAAACCAGGTCAACTCAATATGTATCCATGTATCGTACTGCCTTGTACATAAGAGCAATAATATTTTAGTGGAAGTACAAAGCACAGAACATAGGTCTTGGAAATTTTTGTTTGATAAATGACACCTTTACCAACTTCCTCGGTCACCCTTCTCAGCAATCTTCTCTTCATTAGTGAATTTGATGAATGGAAATCCTAAATTTTTTGCATAAGTCGTCTCTTCAGTTTATGCATTGTACAGTGGAGATGTGATTAAATATTTAATTTGTGGTATAAAAATTATTCTGTTTGTTCTTTCTGCATCATGTTTGGCCTGCATCATGTTTGGCCATAGATTGGTCTTGATGCTACTCTTAAAACCAGTATTGTTTGTACCGTTTTGTGATCATTTTTTGGCTTTCCAAGCTGTAGGTACTTGCTGAAAAATTGCCAGAACTTTTAGATTTTCCAAAAGGTCTTGTGAGTTTGGAGGCTGCAACTAAGGTACACTTTTCTTTCCCCCACTTTTTTTTTTTTTTGTTTTTTTGCTTCCTGTTCTTATGACAATTAATTTTCTGTGTGTAGCATGCTGTGCTAAATGATTAATCATTATGCAGATACAACTAAAATATTTGGCAGAGGAAATGCAAGCTATCAGTAAAGGACTGGAGAAGGTTGAACAGGAATTGACTGCCTCAGAAAATGATGGTCTAGTGTCGGAGAACTTTTGCAAGGTAATTCCTGGGCAACAGCTACTTATGCATTTATTATGTAGATGGTTCCTCCAAGTATGTCTATTGCATAGATATCTGCTATTATTGAACGCATTGCTTCTTAAAGCTTGCAATAAGCTTTGGACATCTCAAGACACGTTTCACTATCAATACTACATTATGGAAATGAGCCACAACTTTGGGAATGGAGATATTTGTTGCTTGTAACCAGTGTGGCCTTTACATTGGTTCTTTCAATATGTTTGATTTGGCCTTTGCATGAGCTTAATATCATAAAGAATTTGTTGGTGTCAACAACTTTTATCATGGGAAATTTGCATCGAGCCATTTACTGCAACTAGTAGCCAATTGTCTTCAAATGTTCATGACGGACAGAATATTTACTGCGACTATATCATAATTTAAAAGCTTTGCAATCCTTGACACCTAATGCTCCGAGTAGAACAGAATATTTTCCTTAATATAGCCCTATTCAAGGAGGATATGACCTCTTTCCTGTGTGAACAGTTATAATAACACCAAAGTTACCTAAATGATTATTTTCTTTTATTAGGACCACTAGTGGACTGTGTTTATACTTGCTGGCTATTTATATTCTAATTCCTTTAGTTGCTAACAACTTTTTTCTCCTTTGCTTGAAATATTTAGATTCTAAAGGAGTTCCTTAGTTTTGCTGAAGGTGAAGTGAGGTCTTTGGCATCTCTTTATTCTGGTGTGGTATGTATATTCATTTAATTATTTGTTGCTATTTGACGCTTCTTGTATGGTTGTAACATAAGGTGCAAGTATTGCTCTTAAGAACTTTGATATTTTCAGGGTAGAAACGCAGATGCATTGGCTCAATATTTTGGGGAAGATCCTGCACGTTGCCCTTTTGAGCAAGGTACTGTTTGGTTGTGATATTTTTTATTTATCTGCATTTCTGTTATGCTGCACCAGAATTAACAAAGAAAGTTGCTTCTGGAAATGTGTTTGAGAACATATTAGATACAGGAATATCAACTTTGGTTGTTCTTGAGCACTACTATCATGTAGTCTTTTAGGTTTCCTATTCAGACTTATGCTGGTGCTTTTTTCTGTGGTATACGTCATTTTTACTTCTTATGAAATACACAGTTGTGTCTACTCTGCTCAACTTTGTGCGGATGTTTGTCCGAGCGCATGAGGAAAACTGCAAGCAACTTGAATTTGAAAAGAAGAAAGCCCAGAAGGAAGCAGAAAATGAAAGGTTGAAGATGAGTTCTGCCAAAAAGGATTCTTTACACTCAGTAAACAATCCCTTGAAGACAAACATCATCAAATGATCTTCAATTGGTATATGCACCGATTTTTGTTGATCGACACAAGCTGTCACTCCATAGATAATGAAGACCTGTACAACGATAGGACACAACGAATAACAAGACAAATGAGCAACGATCCGGGAGAAGAATAAGAGTTATTTATCAGACAGCATAAATAAATAGGAAAATGAAGGTTGTGTCTGGCGATGGATGACAAATACCCATTTTAATTAGTAAGCCTATCAACCCTAATATTTTCCTTTGGGACTTCTAATCTTTCATGGCGAATCATTTTATTTTTCTTTGGCCATTTTTTGATATGATTCATTGTCTTTGAGCAGAAATGGTGGGGTTGACAAAATCCTGTTGGATGAGCTGCAAGTGAGGCTGCTCAAAGAATTTTGTAAAAATATCAGTATTAGTTTCTTTACTCATTCTATATATTAGATTTATTTTTCTTCAATGATATATTATTCTTTGTATATTTTTTGAGTTATAGGGATGTAAATGTTAATATGTAATCTTGTTAGAATGAGTGGAATTTCTTCTTTTCCAAATGGAGAAAAGTCATCCATGTGTTAATTGGTTCAAATATTCATATCCATGGCATGCATGCTTATATTTCTACATATGTTCAGCTTAATCTCGGTTGTAATTTCACCCTATTTTTTTCGATGAAAGTCTCAAGATGTCCCCATACCCGAAGGTGTGCAATGAATTTCCGATCGGATGTCTCCACACTCGAAGGTATGAGACTAATTCCCAGTCGGGGCTCAGATAAACGCCCCTAATCACAGGTTGCTTCCAGTGAGATTCGAACCCTTGACATTACAGGTAAAGTTTATCATTCCATCCTTGAATTTTGATCCAACAGATGTGTAATTCATTTTTAATTATGTCTAAGTAAGAAGAAAACACCATCAATATTTAAATTTTATTGAGGATCAATCATGGTTCTGCAAAAGTAATGTCGAAGAGCCTTCGGGGTTGGGGATGCAGCAAGCTTTCAATGTGAAGTATCTTTGAGATTTTCCAGCAGTTTTAATTCTCGATCCTCAGCAATTACAGGAATTTTTTTTGGATTTAGGGTTTAGTGGATCCCATAAATAATTAAAACTTCCTGTGCATCTATCATCTTTTCAACTGGTTAACCACCCAAATACAAATGCAAATATTTCAATTTTACCAGTTGATTTAAAAATTAAAATTAAGGCAAATTCTTCCTGTAAGATTATGAAAATATCAATATTAACATGTTATATGAACATACGATGACTGTATTCTTAAGTAATTTAGTACAGTAAACTGTAAACAACTTCTCCACGTATATGTAGGGGTTTTCTGCAAGTCTTTTAATGGATTTAAGTAATCAGAAAAAGATGAACTCGCGCTTCATCAGCCGATAGAATACAAAAACTAATGAATTTTCATGCAGAAATGAGAAAAAGCAATAGCAAAGCTAGTCTATCTTCCATTAACTGAGAATTTACACCTTTTTAACATATGGGAATCTGACTATATATTTATGAAGCTGAAGTACATTCATTGCATGAACATTAAATATTAATATTGTTGGTTTAGGCAGGAAGTTGCTACTGCTGCAGCTAAAGCTATGGTGAAGTTTGGATCTTTAGTTATGGATGCCACGGATTCTTCAATCTTCGTCTTCTTGTTGCTAACAATATCTTGCTTTGTAAAGTTGTGAGATGATGGTCTTTTATTTTGTTGAGTATCTGAACCAGAAAGAGTAAGATCAAGAGTGACAGCTGATCCGTAAGGATTTGATTTTGGTGTTGGAGTTGGTAGTGGAGAATGAAAAATGCTCATTGAGCTCTCGGCGGCTGAGCTTTCGGCGGATAAAGAGAAAGATTTACCGAATGAAGATTGAGCTTCATGGTTGTGTTCTCCTTCGTAAGTTGCTACAAGAAATGACTCGTCCTCCCTGCATCGCTGAACCTATATATATATAAATGAAATATATATATTCATTTAAACTAGCTAGAAGTATAAAAGTTTAAGCTTTTGAGTTAAAGAGATCTGTACCTTCTTTTTCACAGAACATCCAGAAGAAGCCATGGAACACCTGAAATAAGCTCGAGGGGAAGGATTATCTTTAGTAACCTTCTGGCCATATTTCCTCCATTGATATCCATCTTTAACTACCTAAAATCGTAAAAGGAATGACAAAAACTTGTTATATAATATAAGAACTTTAAACTTTTAACCATTTAAAATGATAATATAATTAACAGACTTATTAAATTACCAGGCTATTGTCCTTAGAGTCGGATTTGACAAAGATTGTTGATGATTTCTTGTCTTCTGTTCTTATATTATTTCCCTTTTCATAACTTGCCCTATAGCTAGTTTGATGGATATGAGTTTGAAGGGTTTTGCATTTATTAGTCATGGCTTCCACCATAAATCTCAGACGATCATTCTCTTTCCGAACACCCTCCAACTTCGCTTGAAGCACATCCATCTGAAAGAAACCGAAACACGAGAAATACAAAAGGTAAAAACCAAGACTCATTTTGTATACTATATGTCGCTTAGTAGAAACAAAGAAGAGGAGCCCTTTTTACCTTTGCTTCATCCATGTTCGGAAGCTAAAGCTGACAAGAATATTACTGTTAAAACGAAAGAAAATATCAAAATAGAAAATGGGGAAGCTGGTACTTATTTAAATATATAAGGAAGAAAAACAAAATATTAATTAAAGACTAAATTACGTAGAGTAGTTGGCAGTAGAAGACCGTTGATCAGTTTACGCCGCCCACGCAATTTAAGAACAAGAAGACCAGAAGTTGGTGATGATGGCTGCTGTTTTGATTTGTAAATTGGGTGAGAGAGAAGAAGAGAAATTAATTGGTGTTGGAAATTAGCAGGAAAGTCACTGGAATCAAATCCATACCTGCTGGTGGTATTTAAAAAAGAAAAGACCTATGAATCACGTACAGAATTCTAGTGGGAAGATACGTAAGCAATCTGACATCACCACACATGAAGTAAGCTTTTGTTTGTTTACATGGGCAACGTGTTTGAGGGTGCATGCCAGACTGCTGAGTCCAAAACGTATTCTTATTTACCACCGCACAATTTCTTGTTGGCCCGAGCGCAAACTAGGAGTGAAAATCGAGTCGAGCGGCTCAAGCTCGGCTTGAACATTCTAGTTGAGTTTAACCAAAGTAAAACTCGAATTCGATTGAAGTTAGTATTCTCAAATTCGAATAAAAATCGATTATACAAACTCGAATTCGAACTTCAGTTTCAATTGCAAGTACTGATTTCAAGTTTGAACTCGATTTCTCGAATTCAAACTCGATACTATAGCGGTCAAGTCAGTTTTGATTAACTAAATACTCGACTCGATTTCACGCCTAAGTTAATCAATGTATAATCTCAAGAATTTAGCTTTAGCAAAGGAATAATTACGTTGTAAAACTCCAGTTACTTGAGTATTTTTCAGGTTGTGTTGACTTAAACGAGGCTTATATATTTGAATAAGTAGATGTCGTGACAGTGTGAAGTACTATTATAGAGATGGGTTAAAGGAGTCCTCCATCATAATAGATCAGAACAAAGTACAACTGACAAAGAAAGATGAAAAATTCAACAAATACTTTTCTTTATTCCTATTAATTCCAGTTTTTTAAATCTAGTAGATGTTATGACAATGTGGATACATACGCCGAATTTTTTGAATTACATTTTCTCACTTATTTTCTACAAGGATTTTTCATGTGTTATAAACATGCGCGCAGCCAGATTATACTCAATGGGGTCACTTAACCCCACTGAAATTCTAAAATTATTAAAAATAGGTATATATTCTTATAGTAATTAACAATTTTGATCCCATTAAATTTTTATATTAATTCTACTAAAATTATCTATATTTTATTGATCCCACTAAAATATTTTCATATTTCATTGATCTTGAGATTAAAAAATGCCCATATTTTTTTCTCATGTTTTTTCTTTTTCTCAGTTCCTCTCCTCTTTCTTCGTATTTTCTTTTTCCTTTGGTTTAATTAATTAAGAAAAATTATTCATTTAAAAATCACAAAGTAAGATGATGTTAAATGAGTTACATGTAATTAATATAATTGTATGTTGATCGAGTTGAATTTAATTAATTAATAAATGGGTTGGAATCCACAACCAACAAGATGATTTTGATTTGATTTGTCCATTATGCTTCAAACAATGGATTGAGGAGGAGACTTTTGAGTAGATGTTACTTAAATTCTTGTGGGTTTACTACAACTAAATACTCGTGAATAATAAAACCAAAGGGTTAAGTAAGAAAATAATGGACTTACTAAGTAATTAAAGAGCAAAAACAAAAGACTTTCAACAGAAAATGAAAATAAGTCTAACACGTGGTCTCGATTTATAAATAAATGAAGAAATTAGCGATATTATTGTCTTCTTCGACGGCTATACTAGAAGAAGAACAGCACCCCAGAAATCTTAAACACGACTGACTGAATCTTGGACCATTGTTATTACTTGTCATTAATCCAATGCGGTCCCTTCAACAACTAATACAAACATTCTAGTTAGTCCATGCAGCCTCACTCAGTCTTACTCTTTTAAGTTTAATCTTTGCTTGACCTACCAGGCTACCAATAAACTTATTTAACTTCTTAATTAACCCCATAATAACCGCCCGCGTAATTACATTTTGGACTTTCAAGGGCATTCTTGTTGGGACATTTGAACATTTTTGTACTATCTTTATTAGTATCGAAGGATGAAAGAGACTATACATTAGTGAAAAGATGGTTAGCGAAAGGACGTAATCAAAGTAAACTCAGTAGGGTCAAATGACCCTACTAAATTTATTAAAATCAAGAATATAGTTTATAGTAATTAACAATTTTGATTGACGAATGATCATGAGATATATTAAAGTAATTATATAATATTTTTCAAAATATGAAAAATCGTCGATGACAATTATAGAATTGATGATTTGGTATGTATAATTTTTTAAAATCAAATTTTTAGATTAAATTTGTTTATATTTATTACTTCAGTGTATATTTTATTATAAATTAATCAGTTTAGATCTTTTAACCATTCTAATTAGAAATTCTCCCTAATTATGGGCCATTGTTAATTCTGATTACATATTTATTAATTTGCCATTATTATTATTATTATTATTAATTTGCTACTATTCAATGAAAAAGAAAAGAGTTAAACGGCGGGCGTACGGCAGCCAAGAAGTCATGAGTTCACATTGATGTCGAGATAAAGGTTGATAGTGAAGACATGAAATCAAGCACACCACGAGGATGGTTGATTGATTGAATAAGTAGTGATGGATCAAACAGAGCAACTGGCCCAAAAACCAGATGCTCAATTTAATGGTTTAAGAAAATGGGATTTGTCTTGTCCAAATCCCACCCACCTGGACCCAAATCTGAACCATTTTGTCTCTACTTTTTTAATGTTTTTAGAGACTTTATGAATTCGTCATTCACTTTTTCACCATTTACTTAGACATTTTATTCTCTATTGTTTGTCTCTTTTTGTATCATCAATCAATTTAATGTTCATGGTTTGTAGCTTGGGTGTACATGGTAAATGTGAATGCAAGAATCTTGTTCATTTTAAGGTTTATGATCGTACTTGATGTAGAGTGATGGGAAGACACATAAGAAATTTGGTTTTCCTTGGTGTTGACCTTGCTACTTTACATGTGAAATACGTGAATCTTGATATACCATGATTGAATGTAAGATCTCATATCAATGTAAGGATTTACATCAACCGAAGGTACGTAGTTGACAGTGTTAGAACCATGTAAGGTGTGTGTGGTTGACAGTTTTAGAACCACGTAAGGTGTGTGTGCAATCCTAATGGATCAATGATGGGGTAATACAATGATGATCGTGCAATAATAAACATAGAAGATTAAAGAGCAAAACAGACTTTTTAAAATGGTTCGATTGTTTATAATTTTAAAATGGTTCGATTGTTTATAATGCAAAACTTACGTCCACTGTTATGTTATTGAGTGTATAATATCAGCAATCTAATTTACAAAGAGTTATCTGGTTGATTTTCTCTTTTTCTTTCTCTCGAATCCCTCGAAATGTGGTTTATATAGTGTCAGTTACATAGTTGAGTTGGAAATAAACCCAAATTCGATTAAATGGGAAGTCGCGTCATCTTCGGCTTTGAATATGATATCCATATCGCGAGATATTTGCATGCCAGCTGAAGTTTATCCACTCTGAATTTCCCGCACAACACCGATTAATTGAATATGTTCTAATATTAATTTTAAAAGTTTAAATAAATAAACATTTTTCATAATAATAGATTTCAAAACGCTTAAGTACTCTAAAAACATATTTCTTGCCGTGATTCTTTTTGTGCTAAAAATTGCAACAATAGTAGACTATTAATTAGTATATATACATATGTATATATAAACTCTTCGACATTTTAGGAAGAATAAGATGGTGCTAGTTTTAATTTGACCAAGGTAATAAAGGAACAAGGAGTTGATTGCTACTAGTAAAACGAATAATGTATAAGATTCCTTTATTTTTAAAAAAAAAACTTGTGTGTGCGATGACATTACCTATTTGAAGACGGGCTCCATCAAATAGAGCTCACACAAATTTTCCAATTTTAAATAATTGTTGGAGTATAATCGAAAACCTACTGTAACAAGATATGGTTTAACAAAGCCACAAGTTTTACATCAATTTTGGATTCATTATTATACTTGGGAGAGCCACTTCATTGACTTATAGTATAACCGTTTATAAATGAGCAAATCTTATCCCATATTAATAAGTAGTATCCTTATGTTTTTTTTTTTTTTTTTTTTTTTTTTTTATTTTTTGGCTGGTGTGTGTGTACCTCAATTGATCTCCGAAGTTCATTAAACACCATACAACCCGAATGAGTTAGGTAAGTTACAAATATGGTAAGTGCTCACTTTGTAGGACTCTAATGATGGAGTCCCACATCGACTAGGCATGCTCAATCCTACTGATTTATAAGAGGGGGTAATCCTCCCATTCAACAAGGCCTTATTAGGTGAGGAGTTAGGCACACCTCAAATTCTATCATGGTATTGGTAATCCTTTCATTCAATAACGCCTTATTGGGTAAGGAGTCAGACTCGTCTCAAATTCTATCGTGATATTAGAGATGTTAGCTGCTTTTTCTGCTGATGCATCTTCAGAACCTATAGACTCTCCAGTGATCTAGAAGATTCAACATCATTACTAGCACAATCTTGTAAGTTCACTTTATTAACAGCTACTCTAGCTCCATCACACTTCTTATCTTTAGATTCTACTGTGTTTGTTGGTGATTCAACATCAATAATCATAGGATACTTTAAAACCATATTATCTACATCAGCTCTAGCTCCATCATTCTTTGTACCATCAGAATCTCCCACTTTTTAGATGACTCAGCATCAATCACATGATCCTTGAAAGCATTTGTCTTGTCCAAATCCCACCCACCTCTTGGCCCCAAACCTGAACCATTTGTCTTTAATTTCTAATATTTTTGGAGACTTTATGAATTTGTCATTTACTTTTTCACCCTTTACTTGACCTTTTATTCTCTATTGTTTCTCTCTTTTTGTGCATCATCGATCATCAATCAATTTAATGTTCATGGTTTGTAGCTTCACTGTGCACATGGTAAATGTGAATGCAAAAATCTTTTTCATTTTAAAG